AAAATACACTTTTAATTTTACGTTCTATTCATTATTTGTTTCATCTAAATAATTATTATTACAAGATTATTAAAATACTAAATCATTCGATTGTTTATATATATTTTTAATCTAGATGCTAATCAGATTAACGTAGTTTTTAGTTGAAACAAAACAAAATGGCAGACCAGGCTATGCACATGGAAGAGGTTGTTTCAAATGACTATAAAATAAAGGAGATAAATAAAATGGATTGTACAATTCTAGATTATTTTACAAAACTCAGAAATGAAACTAAATCTGAAAGAATAGTTGGTGGAATTGCATTATTGAAGTATTTATGTCAACAATGTTCAGTAAGTGTTTATTTAAAGGTAACCTTAAAATCAACCGTTTTTATAAAGCGCGAAAAATGCTTACAGTTTTCTAATGAATTAATTATTTACAAAAAATAATATTTTAGGAGAAAGATGATAGTAATGAATTTAATTATGCTATGAAAAGACTTATTCGGAGCTTAGGCTCCTCAAAAACAGCTTCTAGAATAGGTTTTTATACAACTTTGACAGTTTTTTTAATACTGCATCCTGAACTGTCTATAGAAAATTTTTTATCTATATTAAACAGTGAATTGCATCCAGTGAATGACAACAGTAAAAGTGTAAGGAAATTACCTCTATTTATACTATAGTATTAAATGATTTATATTTACTTTTAACTATATTATTTTAGGAAAATGCTGATATTTACATGGGGCGTATATTAGCACATGGGACATTAATAAGGTCTAACTTACTTTCAAACAGTACTGTTGAAATACAATTACAAGTTATACAAGATCTTATTAATGCAGGAAAACAGCGCCGTTATTTATCATTTATTTCTGTTTCATTTCTTGTTGAATTTGTACAACGAGTTGATGTTGGATGTATTAAAAAATCAGTTTGGCCAATTGTTGGAAAAGAATTTGGTAAGCCTTGGACAGAACAAACATTAGATTCATTTTATGTCTTATTAGCAATAAGAAACAAATGTCCATCACTTGTAAATCATGAATTTTCGAAGAAATATTTTGGTACTGAACATATTATTGCCAAAGAGTCAATGAGCAATATAGTAAAAGTGTTATTAGTAAGTATGCACCGCAATTTTATTTATGTAAAGTTATTTGAAAAATGTTTATTAACTTGTATATTAATAATATTTAGGAATTACCCAATGTCATATTATGTCACCATCCAATATTTAAATTATTTTGTGAAAATCTGATATCAAATGATCTTATTATTGATTTTTGGACACATGTAGACCAGAAATTTATAAAACCATCCAAAACTGATGAATATTTAGCTATACAGATTCTAAAATTCATACTATCAAATACTATAGATAAGTCTGTATTACCATTATTACTATCTCCAAATTATGTGCAGCATATGTTGAAAAAGTTTTCTGGATCTAAACACAATAACAAAGATGAAGTACTTCTTGGATTCAAAGAAGTCTTAAATTTACTAGTATCAATTACAAACAATGATGATACAAAATTAAAAATACAAATTGCTGTGTTAAAGAAATTAATACTGTGTCCAGGAGATTTAATGATAGAGAAAAAGATAGGTACAAAAATAATTCAAACACTTACTGGACATTTGAATTTAGATGGTATAAAAAAAGTATCAAAAATATATAGAGACATAATAGCAAATGGAATACCTAAGAAAAAATCAAATACTAAAACAGAATCATTTTGGACAAATGCTGAAAGAATGTATGCTGCTCATTTATTGACAAGGTACTTAAGATTTAAAAAATTGAGATGTAATATTTTATTTCATTTTCTCTATATAAATACGTTTAATCTGAATATTTTACTTCACTAGATTAATGGGATGCCCTAAAACACTTACGGACAGAGAATGGAGATTAGATCAACTGAAATTTTTGTTTGTTTATGGATTATGTGAAATGCCAAATGTTGGAATAGATCTAGCTTGTAAATATTATTTTTTTACTTAATATTTATGTATAATACATACATATATATTGTCTTATTCTTTTAATTTGTATTTTTTTCGATTCTAGCACAATTTAAGGAAACATTTTATCATGCATTAGATCACAAGTTACCAAAGTTAGATGATCTACGAAATATATTAAGTGAATTAGTTCATTTTTTAAACGGACATCTAAAAAAGCAAGCTTTAAAATTAAGAAATCCATTAACAGATGAAGCAAGAAATGCTTGGAAAAAAGTGATACATTTAATTAAAACTTTAGAAAATAATTCAAAAAGGGTAGAAGCTGTACCAGTATTCCACACAATGAATTTACACATGGGTTTACAATTATTTTCAGACTCACAAATGGCAATAATGGCCATTAATGAACTACAAAGTTGTTATGAAAGATTAGTAAAGGAATCTAGTACATGCAAAATAGGTACAAAGAAGAAAGAAGAAGATGAGCCAGAATGGGTGGAAGTAGTTATTGATTTATTATTGTCTTTCTATTCTAAAAATAGCCATTTATTAAGATCATTAGTGGGATATGTTTTTCCACACATTTGCCCATATGTGACACCAACAGCTATACATCAAATATTAGAAGTACGTAAATTTTACAAATAAAATTGAAGGATTGCTTAGTATATTTCAAAATTTATTTTTCTTTATAGGTTTTAGATGTAAGAAATGAAAAAGGACTACGTGTAACTACAGATGTTCTTGATGATGAAGAAGGAGATTCATCAAATACAGAATCGAATATTGATATTGAAGATGGTGACGAAAGTGGTGAAGAAAATACTAATAATGAAATGGAAACTTCGTCCGATAATGATTCCGATTCAAATGATGATGATTCACTGAACGAAGACGAAGAAGAAACAGTAACTGACAGATTACGAATGGCAGTACACCAGGCATTAGGTGACGCTTCTATTCAAACTGAAGATGATGAAATAGATGTAGATGATATTAACGAAGAAGAAGGAAAACGATTAGATGAATCATTAGCGGCAGCATTCAGAATTCTTCGAGAAAATCGTCAACCAAGATCCAGAAAGCAAGAAAAATCAGCTCAAGCTTTAACACATTTCAGAATTCGTGTCATAGATTTATTAGAAACTTATTTAGAATGCAATCCATCAATGGCAATCGTACTTGATATGTTGCTTCCTCTTTTTACGTTGTTAGAATATTGTATAAAGGATTCTCATCAGAAACCGCTTCAAGATCGAGTTCGATCTTGTTTAAAAACATTGTCAGCAGTAAAAAGATTCAAAGATGCAGAAAATATTGACGAAGAATTATTAATAGTAATATTAAAGGTAATTATAATTTAAGATATGTAAATAATTATATATTTGGTATATTATTAAAAATTGTATACCCTTAAGGCTTTAATAGAGAAAGGAGAAAGAACTACATCAGTTTATCATGAAATGAGCGATAAATTGGCAGAATGTTGTACATTTCTTGTGAGGTGTGCACAACAAGCTGACATATCTACAGATACAGTAGTTAAAGTGTATGGAGAAAATTTAACAGCCTTTTTTAAAAGAAGAGACTGTGTTTTATCGCCTTTGTTATTTAAAAGCATCTTACAATTACAATGGGAGGGTAATTGGCAGTTAGCTCCTTTATTGGTATATTTTCAATTTCTATTCTAGTAAAAGTGATGTATTTCAGATAATATATAATTATTCTTATAGGTGGACTTTGCTTTTGACAATACCGTAAGATCTTTTCGTCGAGGTTATGCACTTGAATTTTTAACAGTTTTTTACAATAATAGTCGATTGGTTCATTTAGATACGAAACATTCTCATATAAGAAAGAAAATGGAAAAAACATTGTGCAGAAATACTATAAGCATATTTCAAGAATTATCCAATATGTACAAAGTTGAAAATGAACAAATTGCTTCAACTAATGGGAATGAAATAGGAAAAGAAGTTCGGCAAAGGTATGTTTGCCTTCTTTTGACATTGCTACGAAGCGTTTATACTCATCATTTGCCACAAGCATGGAACTGGAATGATGTTGGAAATTTACTTAAAACATATAGAGCTCATGTGTCACTTACAAAAGATACAAAAGCTGCATATAATAAACTAGCAGTACAAATTGGAATTCCACTTAATATGTGAGTATTAATTAAGAGAAATGAAATATATTTAAATTTGATTATTTTACGATAAGATATTACTCTTTATTTTCTTATTTTAGACAATCAAAAAAAATTAAAAATAGGCAGAAAGCTATGATGAACGGAGAGATAAAAAATACGATAAATAATTTAGAACAATTAGATAATATACAAGAAAATGGAAATACACAAAACGATTCAGATGCTCTTGCATTAAAGAAAAATGAATTAAAAAAAAATAAAAGTAACCAAAGAGATAAACGGTTATTAAAAAAGGAAGCACGGATATTGCGTGAAAAAGCAATGTCTGAAGGTTTCGAATCGTTTAACTTCAGCTCGTTTGTTTTACATGATCAATTGAATAAAGATATATCACTACAGAATGGAAATTCCCACACTGCACAGGCTAGTCCTAATACATCACAAAAGAGAATGCTGAAAAATGAGTCAAATAGTAACAGACCCAAAAGAAGAAAAAGCATGCAAACTGCTTGATACATACAATAAAATTGAATCGATATTGCCGAAAATTGTTATTTTTGTATAAACATTTATAGAAATATATATAAAAAAATTGTGCAGTTTTAAAATACATAAATAAATCTTTAACATAAGTCATTAAAGTTATGTTAATAAATAAATTTCGGATACGTTATGTCATAACTTTTAATTTTAGTTGTTTATTAATAAAAATAAAAGTTATACGAAATTATATATTAAATCAGGGGTCGGCAAACTTTTTTTCTGGAGGTCCAGATACTAAATATTTTTTTGCTTTGTGGGTTTAGAGAGAAAATTGAGATTATTACGTATGTATGTATGTATGTATGTAGGTAGCTAACTACAAATTAAAATTTTTTAACAAATCCTTTATTTTTAATACACATTTATTAATGAGAAATATGGAATTCTTTCTTTTTGGATAATATTTCATTTAACTGTACATAACTCGCGGGCCATAAAAAAACTGATGGCGGGCCGCAGTTTACCGACCCCTGTATTAAATAATTCTATGGTACTTTACGAAATCTTTTGTTGAAATTACGATAGAGGGAGTGCGCATAGAATAATGTGCATGTTACTTCAGGCGTTTTGTTCGTTGTATTCTGTTATTATCGGGATATAACAATAATAAAGTAAACTATAAGAAATATTTCTATAATAAATACTTTCTTACTGTTATAAAAATGTAATACTTTCGGTAAACCTTTGTTATTCTTTAATTAATCAAAAGTTATATTGACACTATTAAGGTTAACCACGAGGTAAAGATATTCTAAAAAGTGTATATTTTTTTACAATATTTCTGAACATATTTCTATATTTAATATTTAAAAATTTTAATAAGACGAATAAAGGGATTTAAAGAAATGGATTCCAGTAGTAGTAATTTAAAATGGTATGAAGAATATCCTAAAGGGGAAGAACCATATAAACACTTTAAATCTGAAACAGAAATATCAAATTTGAAAGATGAAGCCAAAAGGCATTTGAATGCAGAAACTTCTGTTTTTCAAATGAAAGAATCAAGGTCCAACAATTCAGAAGCAGCATGGTTAAAAACAGCACTAACACAGGGCACAACCTCAGATAAAGTAGCAGCTGCAATTATATTAGTGCAAGATAATCCAAAATATAATTTAGCTAGACTTACAATGCTTGTAAATCAAGTGAGTGTTGCCAAACATAATCAATGCAATATGATAATAAATTCTTTGAGAGATTTGTTTTTATCTGATCTTCTTCATCCTAAATATAAACTGCTTAAATTTAAAGAGCAAAATTTAAATGAATTTGATAAATCTGATTCTGAAGATACAATATTTAAGTCAGATATATCCAAAAAAAAGCTAATGGCTCATTGGTATTTTGAAGACCAACTATGTGAACAATATGAACGTTTTGTAATGTCTTTAGCTACCATTGCATCTGATACAGTAGATACAAATCGTGAAGTAGCAATATCAGTGATGACAGATTTATTAATAGGAAATGCTGAACAAGAGCATAAACTATTGGAATTGATTGTAAATAAAATAGGAGATCCAAGCAGTAAAGTAGGATCTAAAGTTATATTTTGTTTGAATAAGTTACTACATGAACATCCTAATATGAAATCTGTTGTGTTACGAGAAGTTGAAAAATTATTATTTAGAAAAAATGTAGCACAACGTGCACAGTACTATGCAATTTGCTTATTAACACAATTTTTTTTAAAAAAAGATGATGAAAAAATTGCTTCTACACTCATGGCAGCAATTTTAACTGGTGTAAACAGAGCATATCCATTTGCAAAAATAGATTCAAATATATTGCATGATCATATAGATTCTGTGTACAAAGTTGTACATGTTGGAACTTTCAATGTTTCCTTAAATGCACTTAACTTATTATATCAAGTAAGTATGCAAATTATAATATATTTATATGATCAATATTTATTATAAAATATTGATCAGGTCTAATTTGTACATTATTTATATAGATTACAGGTAAAGATGAAGTCCTATCAAACAGATTTCATTCTACTTTTTATCGAAAACTTCTGGATCCTGAAATAGGAGTCACAAATAAACGTGCTCTACTTCTTAATTTATTGTTCAGAGTTCTTCAAAGCGATCGTAATATGCAACGTTTATATGCATTTATAAAAAGAAGTTTACAAATTGCATTATATTTTCCTGCAAATATGACATGTGCTGTTTTATATGTAATATCAAAAGTTTTACACATACATAAGGAATTAAAAACTTTATTGTTAAAACCTGAAATTTATATTAAAGTTGATAATGAAGATGCAAAAACTAAAGACAGTTTATTGTGTTCAGAAAATATTGATATATCTGGTAATAAGTCTAACATAGAAGATTCCATTTTACTAACAAATGTTATAACTGAACATAATGTAACCAAGGAAACTAAATCTGAAAGGAAAACAGAAAATGACATAAAAATTGATTTCAATAAACAGAAAGAATATGACCCTTTTCATCGTAATCCCCTTTATGCTGGTATAACTAAAGGTTTAAATACTGAGCTAATATCATTATCTAAACATTATCATCCAAGTGTCGCATTATTTGCAAATATTATCATTGAAGGTATTGTACTTAATAATATAATTATTACAATTGTACACCAAATTATTTTTACATAAATTTGTTGAATTCCATTACATATAACATTTTTATTATTTCTGTGTAGGAAAATCAATTGATTATACAGGAGATCCATTAGAAGATTTATCCTTAATACGCTTTTTGGATCGTTATGTTTTCAAAAATCCAAAGCAATTGGAAAATAAGAAAGTACAGAAAAAGAACGATCCTTTAGCACAACGTGCAGGATATACACCTAAAGGTATTAGGTGCATTCCAGTTGATAGTACTTCATACCTTAATGAAAAACAAGAACGTATTCCAGTTGATGAATTATATTTGTATCGATATTTGAAAAAAAGGAAAGAATTGAAGCACGAATTTAAAGTTAAAGATGATGACCTAGAAAGTGTCAATAGTGAAGAGTTTAATGACATGTTAGATAGACTGACAGATGGCAAAGATTTTGAGGATTTAGATATTGCAGCTGATATTCAAACTAAAAGAAACAAGAAAGGTATAATAGCACAAATTTTACATTTCGGTTTTTAATCTAAAAATTATTTTTTAAATAAACTCACTATACATTGAGTATAAAATATTATGAGTATTAAAGTATTTACAATACCTATTTGCAGATAATGAAGAAGAGGACGAAGATTTGGATGATGATAATGTTAAAGATAACGAAAGTAATGATTCTGATCATTTAAGTGATTCAGAGGAAAATTTAGATGTAGATGATGAATTACAAAATTTGAGTGATATCGATTTGAACATCGATGACGATGTAAGTGATCTAGACTTTGACGAAGATGCAGACTATGATGAAAATATTTTAGATGACAATATTCAATCAAATATAAATAAAGAAATAAAGAAACGAGACCAAAAAGGAAATAAAATTAATGAAAATGCAAGAGGGATTGATAATAACATATTTCTATCAGCGGAGAAATTTGCAGAAATGCTAGAAAAACAAAGCAAACAAAAGGGTAAACATGGTGGTACAAATATATTTAATACCGCAGATGGAGCAAGTTCCAAACAAATAGAATGGGAAGTGAAACGACATCATAAACTTAGAAATTCTTCAATTAAAACCAAACGAAAAGGTTCTAAAATTTTTAAAAGAAATGTGAAAAAGACCAAGCATTAATTGTAAACTAAAAACAAGTTGATTTTTTTCAACATGTTGAATGCCGTGGAGGTCATCAGTGACCGGCGGTGCCAAGATTAGTGGAAGCATTTAATTTGAATAAATGGTAATATTTCTAAAATTTTCATCTAATGCATCACACAGCATGTTACGTAGAATTGGTCCGGAATTCAACGTGTTAATGTATATCTTTAAACAATAAAGACGTTTTATAAACTATAAAAAAAGAATTCGTACTTTAATTCATATTCCATACAAATTAATATACTACACATATGCTTACATACTAGAACATTCCTTTTATTTCAATTATTATTCGAGAAAACGTTAATCTACTGAAGTATACAAAATTATAATTTTAACGTTAAATGTTGCAGAAAAAATTTAAGCTAGATAACTAATATACTTTTAGCTTTGTCAATTATGCAAAAAAATTTTTAAATATAGAAATAAATTTATTGTTTTTAAAGAGAAATATCTATCTTTTCTATCATAATACCGATGTCATCTTACATAAAAGTATATACCTTCTGTTATTATTAAAAAGGCTTTTACAGATTAGAAGATTGTTGAACGATTATTTTCACTCATGTTTCTGTACGTATTGTACATTGTCATGCTTCACTTAAAAGTAATTGAGTTTGCAATTTCTTTGGCAACTGAAACAATTAGTATAAGATCACATTTATAGATTGAATGTTAAAAGGATACCTGCGAAATTAAGTAATTATCAGATTAAAATAAAATAAAGTTATATTGAAAATAAATTACATCCAAAGTACAAATACTTCTACTTTACACTGAAGATACATATTGGAAACTATAGTTGCACACAATTTCAAATTTTACTTTTTTAAATTAGTCATGAGAATAGACTTAAACGATACATTTTTCATTAATTCTTATATAAAAAAGTAACAGTTGCAAAAGAAGTTGTGAGTGCACAATTTAGGAAAATATATTGTAAGAGTAATTATGACTTTACTAACAGAGAAACAGGTGTGTAATGAGATTTGCCTATTTGTTAAGATCATTAATGTTAATATTAATAATATCGTTACAGTGCAATAACCAATAAATCTTCATGTTTTTCATTTTGTACACGCTATTTTTTGTTATATGCGACAAATTCTAAAGCGTGCTGCATATGTATATCGGAAGGCGGGACGCTACTCTGGGTCAGCCTTTGATGAACTTTCCTCATCATGAGTAGGGCTATGCCATGTCAATCGTTCTTCATAAAACTTTATCACAATTTGTGGACATTTTTCATTAGCAATTCGAGCAGGAACTAAATCTGCATCATCTGTTCCTTTCCATTTCATTAAAAACATCAATTCTCCACTTGAATCTGTTGCACCAATAATCCGTTCAGGATCCAAATTCCTGTCAAATCCTACATGAAATCAAAATACAGTAATTGAAAAGATATTAAATATATATTATTTATGTGTTCTTTAAAATCAAGTACAAAGGTTACCTTCTGGTTTCTTTTCTTCGGTCACTTTTTTCTTCACATTATGAATAGGTGCAGGACTGCTTTTTCGTTTCTTGTGGTCTTTACTTTCATGTCGTTTACCAGCTGCAGCTGCTTCTTTCTTTTTACGTTGTTCTTCAAATTGTGCAATTAGATCTGGACAATCCAGATTTTCTTCTGGTTCCCATGTATTTTCATCATTAGAATATCCTTTCCATTTAAGAAAGTATTCAACCTAAATTATAATAGAGTTAAAAAACAATTGCATTAACAAGTATACAGAAATATGTATTTAAAATTATGTACCTTGCCCTTAACTACTCTCCTGTCTAAAACTAATACCACAAGGATCATTAATATAAAAATTATGAAAATAAAAAAAAGAATTGATTGACAACAGAAAAATAGTTGTAATTAAAATAGTTTATCAGATGTCAATAATAAATTAATAAAAGAGGAAAGTTAGAAAGAAAAATTATTACGATGTAAAATGACAATGCATTCAGTAATTTTATAATAAAACTTCAAAGATGCCAAGAGAAACGAACATGGTGCAAAATGGCGGTATGGCAGCCGGGAAGCAATCAAAAATTTTGCCTGTTGAAATTATGTGAATATTTGATAATAAATAGTATTAATTTATACTGATTTTTGATATGACTGCATATGTAAACATCCACTTAGAATTCACTTTTAGTTATAGTGCTTACCTAGAATATAGCTACAAAAAGTTACACGAGAATGCACCTCAGAACGACGCGGTGAACTTTCTGGCACTTTAGCGTCTTGTTACCGCGTTGCCGCGAAAAAAAACAGGTTAGCCAACACATCGTTTACAAAAGATGTTACAAATTCATTGTATTTCAAAGTTGAAATTTCATTTTGTAAAAGATATAGCAAGTTATTAACATTATTTTACAACTAACGATTAATTTTAGGTTGAAAAACTTTATAATTATTACAAAAGTAGCATTAAGACGCAATACATTTTTACTGTAAATAACAGTTTTTTTGGAATCTCATGACCTATCATTTCAAAGTATTTGTACGTTACATTTGTTTTCAAAACATTATTTGCTTAGCATATTTTATTTAACATTATAAAGTTATTTATAAAACAATGTATGAAACTTTTAATTCGCAATTTAAAAAGACTTCGAATTAATTTTTTGAAAACTAGAGATTTTGAATGTAAAATGTTTTTGACATTTCCCTTTTTTAAGAAATAATTTAGCTATGTAACTAATATTT